ATATATATATATATATATATATATATATATATATATATATTCTTTATAATTCTACCATTAAATAAAATGGACATAGGTGAAATAGACAAACATTTAAAAAAAATTCTTTTGCAGTGCTGGGGACAGAACCTAGGGCCTCCCCATATTGGGCCAGCTACTACTGAACTACACACTCAGCCTCAGACCAATTCTAAGGCTCTCCAAAGAAATTCAATCCCTCCCAAACATCTTTCATTCCTACATAATTTCAGGAGCATCAAAGCATTAGTGGATCACTGAAAATGGGATATATTAGATTTTGTTAACAAGAAAAATGATGCCCTCAGGCTTAAAAGTAAATATGAAATTTTTACCTGCTTTTTGTTCTTCGCAACAGTTGGAAAGATTTGAGATTAAGCCTGGATCAATCAAATCATCACAGTGGTTGTCATGGTGCTCCTAAACAAAAATGATAATCAATGAGTGATTCTCTATAAAGAAATGTACATGTAGTTATTAAGAATGGCAATTTTAGGGTACTGGGATTGTGGTTCAGTGGTAGAGTGCTCACCTAGCACAGATGAGACACTGGGTTCGATCCTCAGCACCACAAAAAGACAAATAAGTAAAATAAAGATTAAAAAAAAGAATGGCAATTTTGACGTGAGCAGTCATTGTAAAATTGACATAAAAATGTAATATTTGAGAATAAATTTAATCAACACGAGTAAGAACTGTACCCTTAAAATGATAAAAAATTACTGAGGAAATAAATATATAAATTAAGAAAAAAGAATGTCAATTTTGAAGTTTTTCTGTCAAGGGCAGACAGTATAGTACTGAAGATTATCTTAATCTTCATAATTGTTCTAAAACATCATGATGTTAGATACAAAGGAAAAATGGGTTCTCTACATATTATTTTGGCACATAGTATTTTAAGAACAGAAATCCATAAGTGTGAGTTAAATCATTCCATCTTTAACCCAGAAAATAAAATTAAGGAAATATGAGTGGCTAGAATTATAGTGTACTGCATCTGGTATAGGATGAGACAGAGTAGACAAAGAGTCCAAAGTGTTAAGAATTGCACTAAAACAAGAAAAAAAAACTAAACAGGTAAATGAGTTAACCGGATGTGTTTATCTGTAACATGAGAATTCACCTTCCATAAATGCTCAAATTTCTTGCCTTCATTACACGAAAGAAGGCAGCTATTGTCCATGTTTATCCAAATGAAGATTACAGAGAGGCAAATTGTAAAGGAGGGATATTGTGAACTCTGCAGAAAGACAAGGGGAACACAGGGCTGCTGGACTTTCTAGGAGAGTTCGGCCTGTGGACTGTGTCAAAGTCCCCTCTGAGTCACCACCTACTTGTACGGCCTCAACCCACTCACTGTTCTTGAGAGCTTTTCCTTTTCTCCACTACATCCATCCCAAGAGCAGCACGTGCCAAGAATAATTCTGCCCCAGACGAACCTCCTTAAACCTGCTATGTCTCAAATCAGTTCTCTTTCCTGACCAGGCAAATGTACATAACAAAACTGTGAAGAAAGTTAACATACACACAAAAACCATGGTTACCTTTAAATTTATTTTTAATTAAAACAACCATAAAAGTTAGCAAATAACTTGAATTTTGTAAGCCAAGCAACTTGGGCCAACTTAGTAAAAAGATTCTCTACACAATCATGCCTTCCTATCATCCTAGTGGCAGGACCTGATGTTTATTATATAATATTTTTAAAAACAATTATACACGTCATGAAGGTGTTATCTGAGAAGTTAACCTAAAGATATAAATAAACAGTGCTGTACTAGAGATCTAAATCAGTTCTTCAATCAAAAAGTTGATAAAACACTTAAAATAGCAACTGACCATGATGACGAAAGGTAATCACTTCATTTTGGCTTTAAAAATAAATCTGTCAGCATAGCTGTGTGTTAAAATGCATGTGCATTGGAAAAAAATATTTGTATTTCTGATGTGCCAGGCACTGGTGCTAACTTAATATCAGCATCAATATATTATAAATATAATTATCAATATACTGAATGCTAAAATTACCAGATACGGGAATTACTAATATCCTTTATAGGTAGAAAACCAGGACAAGAAAAGGTTAAATAATTTGCTCAGTTATTACATTTCTGAGTCTGAATTTGACAACAGGCACTGACTCCTGAGCCTCCATGAGCAACCTGACACAGATTTTAACATTATTCTTACCTGGGTTCACTGAACAACCCTTAAGCCTAACCTACATGCCACATGGGGCTTTCACCTGTCCTGGAGTATACCACTATAAAGATACCAGAACTGTCCAGAGACACTCCTCAATGAATGGCACCTATTTCCCACCAGCTTCCTCTTTTCTCATATCAACTAAGCTTAGAGAAAAAAAGTTTGATACTAAAACACCCATGAATCACCTGGGTTTCTTGAATAAAGAGAGGGTCTAATGCTAACTCTTTGAGTAGGACCCGAGATAGTGCATTTCCTCAAGCTCCAAGGTGACAGTGCAAGGATCTGGGTTCTAGAAATTATCATATGAATATCTATGGAGATATGTATAGAAACATTCACTGCAGTACTTTGTGTAATAAAGAAATACTGAACCAAAAATAGAAATAGAAAAAAGGAAAAAGTTTGTGTCAGATCAGGTGGGGGAGGCTTTATTGAGATATCACTCCCGGGCAGAACTCAATCAGACCCACAGAGGGGACAGGAGAAGGGTCTGAGGAGAAACTACGCGGAAGTTCGACCGGACTGGACTTTTATGGGGCTTACAGCAGGAAGGGAAGGGCTTGGGACAGGAAAAGGTGTTTCTAGGGTCCCTTGCCCCCTTGAAGTTGGTCAGGGGAGTTGGCTGAACTCCAGGATTGGCCAGGGGGTCCTGTGGATTGACAGGCGTTAGTCAGGAGATCTGGCTGATTCACAGGCGTTTCCGCTGGCATCTGATTGATGTTCTTTTCCGACCTGGGCTGCTTTGTTCTAAGTTGCCACTAAGTGGCCACCAAGTCGCCACCACCGACCTAACAGTTTGGTTATAAGACTTATTTTTTAAGACCAAATATTTTGGATAGATAGGTAACAGACTGACACATTACATTTCCTTTTACATTAGTATGATACATGACATTTCAGAGGTATTGCTTTGAAGAAAAATGAATTCTTATTCATTTGCTATAGGAAATATGATTCTCTTCTTACCTGTAAGTTCTCTGCAAAAAGGTTGCCAGAAGGTTTCTTCAATACAGAACGAAGTACAAAGGAGTCAGTGGATGGAATGTCCCTCTTGCACACAGTGGTAGCTGATGACTTGGCCTCGGGGACTGTGTCTGAGCTTGGCCCTGCTGTCAGTATATCAATTAAAACAGCATCACTTGATTCTGTGCCCTCTACATAATCAGGAACCTTGCATTCTTCAAGATGAACATGTGATTGTGAGATGTCCAAATCTCCTTGTTCTAGACCAAAAATATTTGATGTATTGCAAAGACAATAGCATGCTATGAAGAAATTCAAACCTTATATATCCTGTTCAGGGAGGAGCATCTGGGATTTAATTTGAACTCATAAAAAGAAGACAGAGAAGTGGCCATCAGTCAGTTTGTAATTCAAAACTGATGAATAAGGGGAAAAAGCAAGCAAGAGATGTTGGCCACCATAGAAATCCAGGTCAGAGGCTGGAAAACAGCACCACAAATGAGCCATACACTGCTAGTCTACCTTGGCTCATAATACCTACTACCTGCATTATAAAACTAACCTAAGCAAATCATTGAGTAATGAGCAATTTTACTGCTGAAAATCAGAGGCAATATGCAAGAGAGGTGGAAATGAGAAGCAGGTAAGGTTATCAAACCAAACCAAGTCAATGTGTCACATCTGTGGATTCTGCATTGGTAAGTGCAAGGACCCAGATAAATCTGAATTTTATTCTAGTTATTTACACGTAAGAATTCTCCTATAAAGGAAAAATTCTGAGACATATTTACACACAAAAAAATTATTTTTCTTTATGAGAAATAAATTATAGGTTAAAAAAAAAGGCAGGAGGGAAAGACTTGGAAGCATGAAGGGAAAGAGAAAGAGTGTGAAGTGAATAACAGCAGGGTCAGACAAGCAGTGCCACGAGACACATGAGGCTACCAGCAGCATAATTATTCTGAATTTCTGCAGCGGTACAGAAGGGGCAGAGACTGTACTGAAGGCAGAGATCAAAGGTATGCAGGCCTCCTGTCCAGGTGCCCCCTTAACAAAAGACTTTTAATTCCATTTTACAGGATTGTTTTACTCTTCCTGGAGGCACACTGTCTGAAACATGACCTCTTGGGAAGCCACCAGACAGTGTAACTCATAATAAGGCCCCACTGCCATAGTAGACCCACTTTTCCCTGTCTCATTGAAGAACTTTTGGGCAGCTTACTGGCATGCTCAAGTGAAATTTTGATACTCATCATGTATTAGACAGAAGGTAGAGTAAGGTGACTGGTAAAATGATGATTTTTATTATCTATACTATTTATAAATATTATAAAACTATAAGTATTATTAAGGACTATGTCACTCCTAAGCAAAGTCACACGACAGTAAAGCAAAGAGAATTGGTCAGGAAGCAAGAGGGCCTTATGTCATCATAGTGACAAGCTCATAAGCTGGTTGCTGTTGAGGGCCACAGCCGAGTAGGGAAGATGCAAGGCATTTTTGACAGAAGGGAGTGGTTGAGAGGTGACACCAGCGAACCATTGAGATGATAATGGTTAAGTTAAGCTGCGTATTTAGTTGTATATAGACCCCTGCTGTCTACCTCAGGCGCCTGCTACTTTGGAGTTCTCACAGGGATTCCTGGGAGTTGGCTGGTGAAGTTCCGGTGAAGTTCCGGAGGAGGGATTTCCGGTTGGGGGTGTTCCTGGAAGGGCCACGTGGGTGGCAATCGTGGGAGTTCGGGCAATAAAGGAGTTCCTGTTTGAACCTACCAGTGCCTCTGCAGCAGGCTGCCCTTAGTGACCAGGCAGGCTTCTATCTATCCATCCATCTATCATGGGATTAAAATTAAAAGTCAGAGCACATGCTCTCTACAAAAAAATGCTAAAGAAGTTCTTTTTCAAGGTAAGAGAAAATTCCAGAGGAAACTTAATCTTTAGGAAAGGATGAAGAAGAGCAGAAACGATATATACTAGGCAAATATAAAAGGCTAGCTCCCCTGTTATTTAAATACTTAAAACCAAAAATTGTAACAGCTATGGAGCTACAGTAAAGTATATGTATTATATGACACTTCCAGTACAAAGAATGAAGAAGGAGGGATTCAAGATGGTGAACTAGAGGGAGGCTGCATTCCTTGCTGCTGTTTGCCTACCTTTTGCCTGCTGCCTGCAGACTGTCCACACACAGGGCTCAATGCCTGTTGCTGCCTGGAAGTCCATTGTCGGGGAACCTGTAGGTTTGGTTACACACTGCTGCTACCATCTTGGGACACTAGCTAGGGCCTGGGAGGCTCTGCAGGTTTGCCACTGCCCCACCACCATCTGGGGGTGCGGCTGCCTCAGTCTGGGGACATCGGCCAAGACTTGGAGATATACTGTCAGGGTACATGCAGGTCTCCTTGCACCTGAGGTCTTCTTGCTGGGTGTGCTAATGGCCGCCATCTGGCTGCCTCTTTGCATGGTTGCTCCTTTGTGTGAGCACACCCCTGGTGGTCTCTCTGCAAGCTGGAACATCATTGAGATCTTGGGACTGCAGCAGGGCACAGCCTGGGGAATCTGGAGCCCAGCTTCATCAGATTGCAGCTGAGACTATGTGGGTCAGCATGGGCCTGGCAAGCCCGTGGAAAGTCAGAGACTAGGCCCAATTCCCCAGTTGGAGAAACTGGAGAAAACCGGGCTCTCTCCAGCTCAGTGAGTCCTGAAGTGTAAGGGAGAGAAGGGGCTGGTGACAACAAGTGGGAAGATGTAAAGAGGGGGAGAAGGCATCTTGCTCCCAGCTTGCCCAGCCAACCCCGCCCAGCACCCACTGGACTGGAGCTACCATCAAACTTCAGACAACCCCATCTATCAGAAAAGAAAAGCTGAGAAAATTTTTAAAAGCCAACAAAAGCAATTGGTCAGTTTTCCATAGACTTTCCTTTTTTTCCTCCCCCCCCTCACATCTCTACCATCTCTGAATCCAAATGTTTTTCATGTATCAGTTTATTGAGGAGTGAGATGTCTGAATAGGATATTACAGTGTGATTGTATATTCTTATATTTTTAAAAATATAATTTATTAATTTTCTCTTTAGTTTTAGGTGGACAACATATCTTTATTTTATTTTTATGTGGTGCTGAGGATCAATCCCAGTGCCCCATGCATGCTAGGCGAGCACTCTACCACTGAGCCACAACTCCAGCCCCTATTCTTATATTTTTACATTTTGTTTTTATTTGTATATATTTTCTCCCTCACTTATCTGTCTCACTAGATTTTTTTTCTCACTTCTCTCATGTTAACAGCCAACCTCTGTTAATTCCTCCTTTGCTCTTACTATAACTTTTTATCTCTATTTTCTCTTCTTCTCCCTCATAAATATCACATCCTCTCTCCCGTTTGTCCATCATTTGAAATTGTAAACCCTTTTAGCAAACTTACTGTTTATTCTATAGACAATAATTGAACACATCATTTCTGTTTATTGCAACAAAACTGGAGATGCCAAAATAGGAGCTATTTAAGGTTGTATATTGTTTGCATTGGGTGCTGTTATTATTGGTCTCTCCCTTAAAAGTGAGGTACAAGCCTTCAGGGACACTATAATTGGACTTCAGGGTAGAAACTGTACTGCCTCAAATCCATACTTCTAGATGGGAAAATGCACAAACAACGTGAAAAAACAAGGGAACAAAGTGCCTCAAACAAACCTCAAACAAAAAGATGTTCCAACAATAGAATCCATAGACAACACAGTATAAGAAATATCAGAGAAATTTAGAATGTACATAGTTAATTTAATCTGCAAAGTAAAGGATAGTATAAGGAGTGAAATCAAAGAGAAAATACTGGAAGTGAAAGATCACTTCAATAGAGTAAGAGATTGTGGGGGGGGGGGGGCAGGGAAACAAGCAGAAATCCTCGAAATAAAGGAATCAATAAATCAAATAATAAATTCAATAGAAAGCATCATGAACACACTAGACCACTTAGAAGTAGAATCTCAGGCAATGAAGACAAAATATATTCTTGAAAATAAAGTTGACCATTCCGTAAAGATGGCAAGAAATCATGATCAGAACTTCCAAGAAACATGTGATAACAGGAAAAGTCCAAACTTAAGATTTATTGGAATAGACAAAGGCATGGAGATACAAACCAAAGTAATGCACAATCTTTTCAATGACATATCAGAAAATCTCCCAAATCTAAAGAATGAAATGGAAAATCAACTGTAAGAGGCTTACAGGACCCCAAATGTATAAAATTACAGCAGCCCTGCACGGAGGCACATTATAATGAGAATTACTAACACACAAAATAAGAACAGAATTTTAAAGGCTGTGAAGAAAAATAAATAAATAAATAAACCAATTTGGATATCAGCTAATTTCTCAACCCAGACCCTCAATGCCAGGAGGTCCTGGAATAACATATATAAATGGATATCAACCGAGAATTTTATATCCAGCAAAACTTAGCTTTAGACTTGAAGATCAAATAAAAACCTTCTGTGGTAAACAAGAAAATCAGCAAAGTCAAATCAAAAATAAACCAAAATGACCAGGAATTTAAAGCATATTTCCATAATAACCCTGAATGTTATGGCCTAAATTCATCAGTTGGCAGACTGGGATTAAAAAAAATAAAAGACCCAAAAATATGCTGTCTAGGAGAGACTCATCTAGAAAAAAGACATCCACAGTATGAAGGTGAAAGGATGATAAAAAAAAAAAAAAAAAATACCACTCACGTGAACTGTGCAAACAAATGGGGGTTTCCATCCTCATATCAGATAAAGTGAACTTCAAGCCAAAGTTAGTCAGAAGGGATACAGAAGGACATTTCATACTGCTTAAGGGAATCATACATCAACAAGATACAACAATCGTATCCATGGCCCAAACAATGGAGCATCTACATACATCAAACAAACTCTTCTCGATTTCAAGAATCAAAGAGACCACAACACAATAATTCTGAGTGACTTTAACATACCTCTCTCACCACTGGATAGTTCGTCCAAACAAAAACTAAGCAAGGAATCTATAGAACTAAATAACACAATCAATAATTTAGACTTAACAGACATATAGAATATTTCATCCATCATTGAGCAAATACACTTTCTTCTCAGCAGCACATGGATCCTTTTCCAAAAAAT